TTTTTTTTTTTTTTTTTTTTTTTTTTTTTTTTTTTTTTTTTTTTTGTCATTTCTAGGAGACACAATCTCACAGCAGATTTCCTGGTCCTCAGACTCTATTTCTGCTCCCTCCTCTGATATGTTCCCTGAGCCTTAGGTACAGGAGTTTTGTTGGAGATGTGTCTGTGGAATGTGGCTGAGCATCCCCTAATCACTAATTGGCCTCTTTAGATTGTATGTGAAAATTAGATGGGGAAGTATTTGTCTTTTCTTAGCATAGTGTCTCCCAGACTCATCCATGTTACTGCAAATGATAGTATGCATGGTCAGTTTTTCTCACTTTTGAATCCTGAGATGGCCGTTTCTTTCAGGGCTACATGTTCTTGTCCTTATCTCTCTTGGGTTGCAGTCTTCCTTCAAATGTGAGTTCTGCTTGCTTGCCTTTTCATCTCAGAATAAGTTATTAGGGGCTAGAAAGATGACTCAGCAGTTAAGAACCTGCACTGCTCTTACAGAGGATCCAAAGTCTGTTCCCAGCTCCCATGGCCTGTTCACAACCACCTGTTACACACACCTCATTTACAGATTTAAAATAAATTAGTCATTAGGAAAGCTGGCTGGAAGCTCTGTCATGGGCCTCAGATTTCCACTACAGGTGCCAGAGCAGACACAGATAACTAAGTGCAACAAACCCCAAGTACTGGATGTGCAAGGCTTTCAAGAAATGTTCTAACCCTCACAAAAGAACCCTCTGACCATTGTTTTAGGAGAAGATGAAATGCAGTACTCTGAATTAGGGGGCCGAGGGGATTTTGGGGCCCACTGTTTCCACAAGCCCCAACTTCATCCTCTAGTAGCCTAGTTCTTTTTACCTGGCATTTCTGAACTTGAGGCCCCTTTCGTGGTCCAGTCTTTGTCACTATCACCTCCAGCCTGTCTGGGCTTGTGTTGGATGTCACTACCTTGTCCACTGTACTCTTGTCTTCCAACTGTTTGTCCAAGCATCTCATTACTACAGACACTTTGACTTTTATAGTCTTGAGAGCTTTCTGATCACTTTTGTAGGTGTGTTGCCTATGCGGTGTGTAATAAGCGCTGGACCACAGTGTTACCATGTAGTTTCTATAAGCCAACTTATCTTCACTCTGAAATCTCTGATGTGTTGTTAAACAGAAACAAAACATGGCAGAACAAAGTGCATGTACTGTTTTCACATAGTTGCGTACCTTCTCATGGCCATTCCTATATTCTCAAGTATATTTTAAGTAACTATTGGTTCAAAATAATGAATAATAAAAAATATTTTCATTGTTTTTAGTAATAACTTTTGTTTGTTTGCAAGTCCATGCATATAATATACTTTGGTTAATCTCCCTTCTCTTTTTTTTCCCTCCCAACCCTCCCACTCTCTCTTCTTACTACCAATTTTTCTCCAATGCATGTCTTTTTGTTTTCCCTTTTGTCTCATGGAACTTAAGCAGAGCTGTTCATATGACTCTGAGCTTGGGACTACATGCTAGAGCCTGGTGGGCTCACTAGTGGGTACACAACTGGAGACTGTGTTGTAAACCCTGTTTCCAGAATCTGTTTACTTAGGAGAGTGTTGGCATCAACGGTCTTTCCCATCTGTGAACCTCATTCAGATTATTTCTAAAAGTTTATACATGTAGGGCTGTTTTGCCTGCATGTATGTGTGCCTGGAGCTCATAGAAGCTGGAAGAGGGGGTTGGATCTCTGGAGCTGTATTAACAGATGGGTGTGAACCACCAAATAAATGCTGGGAATACAGCCTGGGTCCACAGAAGAGCAGCCAGGGCTCTCAGCTACTGGTCCCTATCTCCAGGGCATTTGCTAAGGACTTCATTAGTAGTTTAGGCATTTAAGACTCCACTACAATGTTCCTAAAAGGTCGTGGTGCTGTACACACATCACACCCGCTCATGACTGAGCTGCGAGTGGCCAGAACTATTTCCTCTCCAGGTTGAAGGCAGAGGAAAGTTCCATTCTGGCCCAGTAGCAGTCCAAAGTGACTCCCAGGAGAACTCTCAGCATCATTTAGCAAGCTGAGATCTCCCCAAGGTGTTTCTACATTTCTCCACCTCTCTCCTCAGTCTATTTCAGGTTCCATCTCATTTTAACCTTTCCACCCTGTAAGATGACTACAACTCATGAGGTTGTAAGACAAAAGGTGAAGGATAGAGGACAGGAAATGTCTGTGGCTGATGCAGGGAGGAAGCATTTTGGGGCACAGATGCACTTAACACCAACTGTCTTACTCTCATAAGACAGGGTTCCAGGAAATGGGCTGACGTCACCTGTTGAGTTCACAGTCTCTTGAGAATTGCTATGAAAAATCACCCTCTGGTCTCTTTGCTGTTATACTTTGAATGAGGTGGGCCAGAAGTTTGTATAAGTCTGAGATGTTAATCCACGAATGGAAGAACAAGGTCAGTTTATGTAGCAGAGAGGAAACATAAAAAAGAAACAGAAATTGTTGAAAAATAATCTGTAGGGCTAGAAGGTGTTACTGCCAAACAGTGCTCTCTGTCACAAACGTCTCTCTCAATTATGATCGTATCTGGACATTTCTGCTCACAGAATTACAATTATGGCAGGCTAGAAACTCATAGACCCTTCAGTAAACAGTGCAGTGTATGGGAAGGAAAGAAGAGGATTTACAAAGGCTGTGGTGTAGAATTGAGATTTGCCAGAGGCTCTCTCAGCATCACTTGGTGCTGAGACTTGGTGCTTGGTGACTCTGTGCCAAATTGCCAGATTTCACAGATGAACCTGGAGAATCAAAATAACTTTATAAATAGATTTCCCTGGGTGTACAGGTCTGACGCACTATTTCCTCCATATCACTCTTATTGTTTATGTTGGGGATTCAAACCCTAGGCTCTTCCTGGTGAACTTTGCCTGTGTGACTATCCAGAGTTGATGGTCCCTTGGGATTTATAAACCATGTGGATGTCAAGTACATGAAAATAATAGTGTGGAGACGTGAGGTTCTTCTGACATATGTGTGGAGAGATTGAATACAAATCGAAAGGAGACTGTCCCAATCTGAAGAGGTATGCATGGAGGTCAAAGCACACACACACACACACACACACACACACGTCCTGTATAAGTCAACAAGAAGAAATAAACATGAGATTACACAAGGATAAGCCCCAAAGTAGGCAGAATAATACAGAAAAGAAGAGGAAGAAAAAAGTGAAAACTGGTAGCAGATGATAATTTTATTCTTAGAGGATTGTATACATCCACATGTGTTTGATCAATTCCACTCCCATTTCTCCCATTCCTTCTTGATACGTCTCCTTTCCCTCTCAACTTTGTGTACTCTTATTCCCCGCTTAAAAAATCAAGACTCCGCTTAGTGCTGCCTGTACCTGCAAGGATGTGGAACATCTACGCATGTAAGTAGCCTCTTAGGGGAAGTGTCCGTGAGGAAAACTTCAAAACTTCACTCACTCACACACACACACACACACACACACACACACACACATACACAGAGAGAAACATGCACCTACGAGCCGCTATCATTTGCCCATAGCTTCTCAGACCTAGGCAAGACTTCATGAGCTTTTCCCCATCTGCACTGAGGTTTTGGTTTGTGCAGGTTTGATGTCTAATGGCCTTGTCACATGCAGCAAACACTGTCTCACTGCAGATATTCACTGCCTCTGGTCTTTCCATACCCTCATCTGCAATGAGACCTGTGACCTGAGGGGAGAAGATATGATATAGATGTCCCATTAAATCCAACGGTATCACTAATAACATGAAGTATAAAATGTCTAAAATCCAAATTAAAAGTAGATTCTATTATGTGCTATTGAAAAGGAATCCCCCCCATGACTTAAATAAGTAAGCACACAGGAGATTCAATATCACTGCCGACTAAGTCATTGTCATTCGTATTTACGGCATGCTCTGCCAAACAAGGGCAGACTACCCATTAGTTACTAGATGGAGCATATTGTAGTGGACAAAGCCCTGACACTGAGAAAAGCGGCTATCATGAAAGCTCTATTTATGCAACTGATTTAACACATTCCAAATGCTCAGTAGCTACCAGCAGCCCCTGGTACCCATTAGAGGGCACAGAGCAAGAGGGCTGCAGGAAGTTCTGCAGAGCAGCTAGCTAGGAAGGCGGGTGGGTCTCTCACACACTCCCCTTTCCACAGTTCCTCCCCCTGGCTTCCTCTCGCCACTCTGCTCTCTTTTCTGGTTTTAGCATTGTTGCAAAATCAGAGAAGGCCACAGGACCCAGATTTTTCAGGTAAAAAAATGAGGGTGGAGTTTGGGGGTGTTGAAATTGGTGAGAAGGGTGCCTGTCTGTGTGTAGTAAACTTCCCGGCAGACCTGCTCTTAGAAATTATACATGATGTTTTCTGTTTCCTGTCTGCTGACTGTAGCCTGTAATCTGTGTTGAAGGTTGAGCGAGCCCCACAAATTCATATGTGCTTCAGGATTCACTGTACTTTCTCTGCAGAGAAAGTTTTCTGTCACTGGTCAAAAAATTTTAACTTGACTCTTCCAAGAAGGGAATGAATAGATTGGCTTAGAGAGGGCAGGCAGGGAGAAGTTAGGGATGGGGGATCCCTAACCAGGCCCAGCTTGCCATGTGTCCTCCACCAAGCTGGCATACAGGTCAAGATCAGCAGTTATGTTTTCCTTTAAGCTGCTTCCTAGGGGACTTGCTTCTTGGGAACTATTTTTTTCGGTGTTCATAGAAGCGTTGACCTCCCTCCAGGTGGGTCTAAGTAGGGAGGTTACAGTCACTGTGACTACAGTTCTGGAGCCACTATTGGATGTTTGGTCATAGGCAGAGGGGGGACTTCTTAGTCAATGAAATTAGTACCTATAGAAACACAGGTCCTTGTTTTACAGTCTATGACATTTCAAAGGAGAGCATTCCAGGCTGTCCTGATCATAATGGCTCCAGCATTTGAAAACATGTTAATGGGCATTAGTTACAGGAAACATTAGGAATGAGCTGATGTTTCTGCACGCCTGTGTCTTGATTAACAAGGAAGGGATGACTATGTGCATGGGTCAATAACAAGCAGAGAGAGGTAAAGACCCAAGAAAATCCATTTGCTTGTTTAAGAAATAAATTGAGGCCCACCTTTGTCCAGGGTTGTGCTTATCCCTGGAGAGTTTCCTGCCATATAGTCTAAGAGGAGACAATTAAATGTTAGAGAACAATTTCACCTTACAACCATGTCCTTGATGAAGAAATGCTGCTGTGAAGCTACAGCAAGCACAAGTGAACTTGAGAGCTGGAGTCTTCGGTTGGTAATGCTGCAAGACAGAGGCATTAGAGAGGGTCTCTTGGGAAACAGAGGCTGGGAAGAACCAGCTGGGCAGTCGGCTGGAGCAGTGCCCCCAGGAAGGGGAAGTTCTGAAAAGGTCTAAGAGACAAAAGTGCTTCTAGGATCTTGGGAACATACAGGGGAGGTCCGTGCCTTTAGAGAGAGATGAACATGCAGGGAGTTGTGGGCCATTAGTTCCAATAGTTCACACTATCTTCCTAAAATGATCCAAAGCCACTAGGGAATTCAAGCAAGGAAAGAAAAATGAAATTCCATTTTTAAAGTGAGATCTGGTGGAAAAGGCGATGGGAGAGGGATGACTGGGCACCAGCCCGCTGCACTGACAACATATACCTTTGGATCTGATCAGCATGAAGGGAGAAAGAAAGACATAAATGAGATTTCAGAAAATAGTCATTTGGTGATGGGCTGATGCAACGCCGGAAAGCAAGGCTGTACTAGAGCTCACAGCCTGGAAAGAGAGACTAGCTATATGGTGATGCTGTTCACTAAGACAAGAACTCACGCCTGGGGGAAGCAGAAGTCAAGGGTTCTATCCTGGTCAGCCTTTGTTAGAGATGCCCATGAAAGCCACAGTGGAGGGCTGAGCCAGAAGTTGAGAATACTGAAGGAATATCGTGAAAAAGAGACTACAGTAGTCACTCACTAGCTCGAGAGAAGGAGAGGACCAGGAATAGTAAGTACAAGGAAGTGCTGGAAGAAATTAAATTTGTGCAAGAAAAATAATAGCCTGGAAAAAAAAAAGAATTTGTGATGAGTTTTTGGGGACGAGGCAGGAGATATCAAAGGAGATATCAGGAGATATCAAAGTTCGTGGGAGAAAGTTTAGTGTTGGCTATAGGAGGTGGGGGTCACTGTGTTTCATAACTTGCATTGGTTGTTTCTTTATCTTCAGGGAGTCAAGATACAATGGCAGCCCAGTATCGTGGTGTGGAGTCCATCCTGGGACAGTCAAGAACCAGCCATGGTGAGAGGAGCTGGGGTGAGGGGCAGAGGAGAGCCAAACTGCAGAAGTGGGAAGGCAGGCAGGGAGGGATTCAGTCCCTCCTGTGATAACAATTAGTCCCCACTTGGGCAGGAGAAAACCATTATGCTGTCCTCATTTCATGTCTCTGCTCTCCTAATTCTCTTGACTTTCTTTATGTTCTCTTGGGGTATGTCCATTAGGCTGAGCAGGGAAACCAAATGGCCTCCCACTGTTCCAGACCTTAGTTGGCATAGCCCTCTCTTCTCATTCTTTCTTTCTTTTCCCTCTATGGTTTGTCTTTACACGGGTTTTTACACTGAGGTTCAGGCCAGCTTGGAAACTGTGGCAGCCATCCTGCTCCTGTCTGTCCACCGTAGGTGATAGGTGTGAGCCACCACAACTGCCCTCAGCACAGTCTTATTTCCTCTTTCCTACAATGAAGACAGCAGAAAGGCTGCCTATGGGCCCTTTGATTGTGGCCTCTCTGGTCACATCTCTGTTCTGTCCTAAAGGAGGATTGGTAGAGAGCAATGTGGGGGTAATTGCTCCCAAATGAATCAATGTGCCAGTGAACACTCCAATCCTCTACCACCATGTTCACTATGTCAGCTGAGATTTTGCTGCTTTATTAAACTACCTTACAGCATAGTGGTTTAAAATATTACCATATCTCTGCTCCAGATTCTCTGGGTCAGTCAGGCATTTCTTGAGTCTAAAGCACATTTGTTAAAGTTGGGCACTCTCTCATGCAGCTGTCAGAGGCCCCATAGGCTCATAGATGTGTCACCCCTGCACATGTTGTAGGCTAGGGTTTTCCTGTGAGAGTCTTCACAGACTCACAGATGTGGGCACATCACTGTTTCTTAAACTTTTGCTGCCTTGTCCTCAAGAAATTTTTATGTGACCCTAGATACATGGATACACAAAAGAGATCACAAGTCAAACATATGACATTTGAACTGAATTTTTTATATGTAGGTATGCATATGTATGTATATATGTATATATATATATATATAATTTAAGATTTCTTAAATATCATCATGAGGAGTTTCAGTTATATTGGATGAGTACATTCTTTTTTTTGTGAGTACATTCTTAAGACCTGTTGCATAACAGAGTGAATATACCTAATACTATATTTTACAGTTGATTATAAAGTAGATTTTAAGGACCTGGAGAGGACAGGAGTTCCACAAGGACCAAATATATCTGGGCACAGGGGTCTTTTATGAGACTGTTTCTCCAAACAAGGACCATGTATGGATGCAACCTAGATCCCCTGCTCAGATGTAGCCCTTGGTAGCTCAGTATCCAAGTGGGTGCCCTAATAAGCGGAACAGGGACTGTTTCTGACATGAGCTCGATGGTGAGCTCTTTAACACCCTGCCCCCCAGGGAGGATCAGCCTTGCTAGGCCACAGAGGAGGACTTTGCAGCCAGTCCTGAAGACACTTGATAAACCAGTATCAGATGTAAGAAGAGGAGGTTCTCCCTTATCAGTGGACTTGGAAAGGGGCAGGGAGGAGATGAGGGTGGGAAGGTGGGAGGGAAAGAGGGAGTGGGATACAGCAGGTATACAAAGTTAACAAACTGTAACTAATATTAAAAAAATAAAAATTAAAAAAATAAAAATAAAAGTAGATTTAAATGTTTTCCTCACAAAGCATAGTTATATGAGCAATGTGATGTTAAAAATTGTGAGAGCCTCTTTCAAGCAGTTCACTGTACACTATAACTTCATACAAGTTGTGTTTAACAGCTTCTCTTCAACAACACTGAAGAAGCATATGCCATGTACAAGAAAAGTAAACAAGAAAGTTGATGTTAATAAACGTATTGTCTTTCTTCAACTTAAAAAAACACATTTACATACTAGTGAGATGGATGTGCTCAGGTTGTGTTTAGTTTTGTTTAGTTTTGCATAAGTAAGTCTTGATTAAATATTTGACCTCACAGGACAGAGCATTTCAAACATTTTTTAGGGTTGATAGCTATTTTAAATTCATAATAATCAGTTGTAAGAATGCCACTCACTAAGTACACAATACAAAGTGGCAATAGTCTCAATCCAAGTCAAGATATTTCAGGTAGTGTTTATTGATACTGAATGGTATGAGCAAAATGAAGTGTTCATATTGTTGGTCAGTAACAAGGTTGCTATTTTATCATAAAACAGGCAAGTGCTATCAGAGATATTACAGATTCATTACAGCTTTGATTTTGAAATCATTTGTAGTCATTGGGCATTTAGAATCTTTTACTGTTGTTAATCTTTTACTGTTTCTCTTCCTCCCTATGGTCGGTTTTGTGGACCCACATGAAGTCACAACCTGTGCTTTAAGGAGTTCTGATTTGGTCAGTTAGTCTAGGGTGTCCAGGATGGTGGGGGCTCTTACTATCAAGCAAGATAGTCCAGGTACCTTTACATGGAAGCTGTAGAGAAGCCTAAGGCACGGGGAGGCCACAGTGCTTAAGGGTTCTTGGAAATTTTGTTTGATTGTCCTCCAAAGCATGTCAGAAGCAGACTTACCGGCTACACTTTACTGGGGAGAGCTACAACGCGACATCCCAAAGAGGCAGGCATTCAGGGATGGGGAAGGTTAAGTCTGTATTGTAGCCTAGACATGGGTCATCATCACTTGGTCTCAACACTGGCTAATTATGGCATAGGAACTACCATTGGTACCTTGACCAAGAAGCCAATGCCAACAAATCTTTCAGATGGGTTACTCCACTGTGCAGCCAAGTAAATGCTGATGTGAACTACCCCACATCCTTTCTTAGACTATCTCAGACTGTCTGTCCTCAGTCACATATTTCTTTCATCCTGGAATTCTGGCTCCCCAACATGGGAGACTATATTAATACTTGTATACCTCCCCACTTGCCTGAAAGTTGAAAGAAGAAAATACCACACACACACACACACACACACACACACACACACACACACACACCTATATCTGCCATTTTTAAATATAAATCAAAAGAAAATACATCTGTCCCTGCAGATGCGCCCAAACTCACACTTTATGTTCCACTCTGGATTCTGTTAGTCAGGTGGCTATCATAAGTGGCTTCTGAAACTCATGTTTTCTCCTCTGAGTGCTTGGAAACCACAAAAGGTCAGAATGAGGATCTCAAAATAATATTTAAAGAAGGATGTAAAGAAAGGAGATCAAAGAAGCTACCAATTGTCAAGTCCTTCCTTTAGACCATTTAGTTGGCCATTTAGACCCAGAGGTTGTTACAGATCCTGAGAAGGCAGAGGTAACAGCAAGGAGAAAGCTGTTACACATCCAGAGAGTGGGTATCACAAGCGAGACACTACAGAACTTCTCTCTTGGGGGCTGAGTCTCACACCTGGTTCTGTTCCCTTGATGTTCTAGATCTTGGGAAACAAGATGAAGGAAATCCCCAACTCAGAATTGTCCTCCTGGGAAAAACTGGGGCAGGAAAGAGTGCAACCGGAAACAGCATTCTTGGAAAGAAAGTGTTTTCTTCTGGCATTTGTGCAAAATCCATAACCAAGGTGTGTGAGAAAAGGGTGAGCACCTGGGAAGGGAGCGAGCTTGTTGTTGTGGATACACCTGGTGTTTTTGACACTGAGGTCCCAGAGGCTGCCACAAGAAAGGAGATTACTCGCTGTGTTGCCCTGACCTCCCCAGGGCCTCATGCTCTGCTCCTGGTGGTCCCATTGGGGCGTTACACTGTGGAAGAACATAAGGCCACACAGAAGATTCTGAGCATGTTTGGAAAGAAGGCTAGAAGATTCATGATTCTCCTGCTCACCAGGAAGGATGACTTGGAAGGCACCGATATCCATGAGTACTTAAACACGGCTCCCAAAGACATTCAAGAGTTGATCCATGAGTTTGAGAATCGATACTGTTTGTTCAACAACAAAGCCTCAGGGGCTGAACAGGAAGGCCAGAGGACAGAACTATTGAACTTGGTCCAGAGCATGGTGAGGGAAAATGGTGGAAGATGCTTTACCAACAAGATGTATGAAACTGCTGAGGATGTGATTCAGAAACAGACCCTGGAGATACAAGAACAGTACAGAAAGGAGCTGGAGAGAGAGCTCACACGGATAAGAAGGGAGTATGAAGAAGAGATTAGAGACCTGGAAGATAAATTGGAGAGGGAAAGGAGAAAGGCATGTATGGAGAGGGAATTCACCAGAACAGAGGCTGTCTTTACAGAGCGACAAGAAAATGCTAGGAGCGAAGTTGAGAATGGAAATATGATACTTGAATTAATTATAGTAGCATGGAAGATTGCTTCCTTTATCTTCAGCCAGTTTATGCAAGACTAGATCTAGTCTGTAAGACTAGACCTTAGCTGTATCTTCTCCATTGCCCCTGATAACTGTGCCCTACAGAGCTCTGCTGAACGTCAAAATGTTCCAGTTTCTGTCTTCCAGGACTAAGGAATGAAGTAAATGCTGCCAGTAGCTGTTGTTAAATGTTGAATTGACTCAACAAGAAACTGATTAATCCTCAGTTTGTGAAACTCCAAAGCAGAATGGATTATGACTTGCTACCTTGTGCTCTTCCTCAGCAGAAGCTACCCAGGAGGCCACAATAAATAAATAAATAAAAAGATAGATAGATAGATAGATAGATAGATAGATAGATAGATAGATAGATAAATAAATACATAGTTTAAGATGTACCCAGGCAATTATCTGGATTCTCAGGAATTATCGTCAACTGCAGCACCTACACACAGATACTAATCTTTTTTATGGTCATCTTGTATGTTTTATTAGAAAGTTCATTTCTTTGCATGAGATAATTTTGAGAGAAAGATAGATGGCTGTACAGTTCTCAGTACACGTCAGTTTGTTTGTACATTTTCATTAGTGGACTCAAAATGTTCCCTACATGTCCTTGAAGGAAAAGCAAATCTTGTAAATCAAGTAATCCAGGATGAACACAAATTAGCATTCCAGTAGGTGAGGACACAATGACTGGTGTGTTTGGGTGTGGCTCTAGGAGCTCTCTGTCAACCTTTTAACCAGTTTGGTGAACAGACAGCTCTGTCCTTGAGAAATGATCTGGCTGCTGCAAATCTACCCTGAGCCCCGTACATCCAACCTTTTGCTTCTGCCCCACCAAGCTAATTTGCTTGTTGCTGTTATAATAAACTTTTCATTGCCTCATACTTGTTCAGAATCAGAATCTGTTTTGTCTTGGAAAATGGTGCTAAACCAGCACAGAGATGAATTTTGTTTTATTGGTAAAATTTTAAGGTGTTTTTCAATTTTTGAACTGAACTTGCTCTATCCCCATGGCACCCATTTTTGTTTTCTCATGCGTGTGCATATATGTGTATATGTGTGTGTGTATGTGCATGCACATTTGTGTGTGTGCAAGTACATGGGAGCATGTGGAGGGCAGGGGATGGTCACGGGTGACAGCAGTGCTATCTACCTCCCTCGATAGAGCGATTTTTATTGCCCTGGGTTTCTTTGATTAAGCTGGACTGGCTGGCCCGAGGCCCCTGAGGATTCTCCTACCTCCACCTCCCCAGCCCTGGGTTACAAGTGCAAGCCACCACACCAACTTTTCACACAGATTCTGGGAGCCAGGCTTGGGTTCTCAAGCTTGCACAACAAGTACTTTCCTGACTGAATCATTCCCCTAGGCCCATTCTCTTCCTTTCTCTGAAATCTTTGAGCCACATTCTCAGTTTTTCACTGGTAAAAGACCACGGCCTTTTTGGGTCCTTATTATTTTAAGGTAGAAATTGTGTCTTAGGTTTCTGAGATTTTCCTGGTGCATGCATTCCCTCTAATATGGAGACAGCAATAATTATTTTCTTATTCTTTTCGCTCCATTTCTTCTGAGTTATCCTCACTTAGTTTCTAGGAATCCTCAGTGCTTAGTCCCAACATTTCCTGGTGTCACCTGTGACAGCTCACTTTGTTCTTTCTATCTCTAGATTGGTGTCTCTAAACTTTTTTGGCAGCAGGTGGCTATTACAGAAGGTCACTAGTCAAAATGCAGAGAACAGCTCACCGTGGGGCGCTCAGCCCTACTTAATACACCACAACTCAACTGCTGCATCCAAGGCTCGGGGACATCGTGTAAGAGGGAGTGACAAGAAGGCAGTGCAGTTTGCTGTGATAACACCATGGGCCAAGTCAAGTTGGGGCAGAAAGGGTTTATTTTATCTTAATGCTTAGAATCCATCATGGAGGGAAGCCAGAACAGGACCTCGAGATTGGAAACTGGAGACAGGAACTGATGCAGAGGCCATGGAGGATTGCTGCTTACTTGCTTGCTGTACATGGCTTGCTTAACTTAAAAAAAAAGAAAAGAAAAGCTGCATTATGTGTCATGGTGTGTATATCCTTTTGCCCAAACATTTTTACTTGCAAATGTTCATTGTAATGAGTCACTGGTCTGGTTTGAGGCCTCCAGCTTCTGCTGTACTATCAATACTGGACCTCACCGAGACTCCTCTCAGAATACTGTTGTTGTCCTGCATTATGGAGATTCTGAAGCTTTGGATGTGCAGGACCAGTCCCTTCACAGTTTCTAGCAGTTCATAGATGGGGTGGATGTAGGGGTGGACCAACTCAAAGCCGTGGATCTAAGCCTAAGTGGAAGCTCAGTTGGTCAGCCCACCAGTTTTCACTTTTCTTCCATCCTTGCCATCAGGGCCAGCTCACTTCCCCGCTGCAGGCATCAGGTGTGAGACTAAGGGTTGGGAGTGGAAAGATTGGAGGGGTGCATCTTTCCTGAGTCTCTGATACCACATGGCAAATGAGGGGTGGGGCTAGCTGTCTAGCACTCATTCCAGCAGGGCTAGCTCTCCTGTACCAACACCATCAGAGCCATATCTCTCATGCTGTCCAGGTGAGGAACAGGGGAAGCTCTCCTACTGCAAGTGATGGGTGGGCACTGTGCCAGGATGTCGACATGGCCTTAGGTGACATCCCAGACCACGGACATCTACATGGTCTTATAGGACCACAGAGGCAGACATGTCCCGCAATGGCACCATGAGCCTGGATGTCACCATGGCCTCATTTGACGGCACAGGCTGCTCAGATTAGTTTGATTGCCGACATCAGTATGGCTCCCAGATATTAACATGGTCTTAGCAGAACCCAGACCACTGACATCCAGATGACCTTCTGTGGCAATATAGGCTACAGCCATCAACACAGAACGGAGCTACAGTAGGGTCACAGACCCAGACATGGCCCTTGGTAGCAGCTCAGGCCCAGACATCACCATGGCTCCAGGTGGTTACACAGGCTCCTCATATCTGCCTGTTCCTCACCACCCTCATATCTCCAGTTCCACCTCTCTCCACAGCGCACCAGGCACACAGATTTGCTTTCTCTCCCATTTCTCCACACATCCTCTTTTCTCCCCCACCTCTCCCTTCCACAGTCACTCACTCATCATAGTGGCATTGCTGGGGTGGGTACTTGGGTGTCTCTCTCTTCTGGATGGCCTTCTGCTTAACTTTTTAAAATCTAGGATCACTTATCCAAGAATGGCACCTCCCACAGTAGGCTGGGCCCTCCCATATCAATTATTAATCAAGAAAATGCCCCACAGACTAACCTACAGGCCTGTCTGATGGAGGAATTTTTTTCCACCTGCGGTTTTCTCTTCTCAGATGACTCTACCTTGTGTGTCAAATTGACAAAAAAATAAATAAATAAATAAATAAAATAACCAGCTCACTTCCTTTTTTTTTTTTTTTTTTACCATGTCTGAGTATATTAATTACTGTCACTAGTGTCATAAATAGTAAATATCAATGGTGATGGAAGGCATATTTCATTTTCTGGCTGTCTCCAGAGCTCCCAGGGAAGTGAGAGTCTGATTTCTACTTTTTTTATATAGGGCATACCATCATTTAGTATTTTCTTTTAACCTAAAGAATATAAAGCTACAGAATTTGTCTCTACAAATTGATTTTTTTTCATATATTGGCTGTGCAAAATAATGAGTTTTCTTATAACATTTTTGCATATATATATATAATGTATACATGCTTTGATCAGACTCACACCCATGCATTATCTTCCCTTCTTTTTGCTCATCTTCTGGTCCCCTTTCTCTTCCTAAATATGCCCTTTTCTGATTCATTTCTCTTAAAAATTTTATTTTCAACAAATGAGAGAAAACCTGTAATATTTGGTTTTCTGAATTTGATTTATTTCACTGAATGTAATGACCTACATTTTCATGCACAGTTCTGTGACACTATTTCCTTCCTCAATATATAGTTTGGTGAAGTCTATTTTGTTGCATATTCTGATTTTTGAATGAAAAATGTCCCCTATAGGCTCAGGTATTTGAACACTTGGTTCCAGTTGGTGACACTGTTTGTGGAGATTATGGGAGGTGAAGCCCTACTGGAGGAAGTGCATCACCAGCGACAGGATTTGACAGTTTTATAGCCTTAACCATAAGTCCCCTCTCATTGCCTCTGGGCAGCTGCTACCATGCTTCCCTCCACATTTTGGACATTTCATCTAGAACCATAAACCAAAATAAACTCTTTCATCCATAAACTCTTGGTATTGCATTATTACAACCACAAAGTAAACAACATACTTACCTTCTTTTGAAAAATATTCACTTTATTACTGTATGTTAATTATTAAAAGTGAGCTTATTGTGACATTTTCATAGATTTATAATGTTTTGTGATTTGGTGTTACTCATTACCCCTTTGAAAAAGATTATTTATTTGTTTGTGTGCTTGCGTTCTTGCGTGCACATGTGCATGCTTGTGCGTGTTTGTGTGTGCCTGTGTGTGTACCACTTGTATGCAAGTACCTTATATGTCAGAAAGCATTGGATCCCTTAGAGCTGGAGGTACAGACCATTGTAATTCATGTAATGTGGATGCTGGGAACGGAACTTGGGTCCCTTGTAATAGCAGCAAGCACTTCTTTGCTTTATTTAAATTTTAACTTTAAATATTATTTTATTGTATGGCCACGATTAGCAGAAACCATAACTTAACCTCTGAGCCATCTCTCTAGCCCCAGTCACCTCCTTCCTTTCCTCAGGTAATCTCCTTCCCACTCTTGTTAGTCTTTTTCCTTCTAACTCATTCTCCTTTTATTTGATGCCTTAAAAAAAGCAGATTCTACATATGAGAGAAAAAGTGTGATAGTTGTATTTCTAAGTCTGACTTATTTTGTTTCACATAATAATCTATAACTCCATCTTTTTTTGAGACGTGTTTCTCTCTGTAGCCTTGGCTGTCCTGGACTTGCTTTAGACCAGGCTAGCCTCAAACTTACAATAATCTGCCTGCCTCCGCCTTCCTGAGTGCTGGAATTAAATGCATGTACCACCATACCTGGCTTAACTCCATTCATTTTATTACAAATAAAACAGCATGCTTTCTTCAGCAGATATACGTGTATATCTCATATTTCCTTTATCCATTCATAATTTTACGGGCTCCTAGAAGGAGTGGGGTGATAATAATCGAGGTCATATATTGATCTGTATCTATGCTTGCTTTGCTTCCTTTGGGCACATGCCCATTATTGATAGAACAAGATCACATAGTTCTACTTTGAGCTTTTTTCCTCACAAGTATTTTGTGTGTGTATGTGGGGGGGGGGTTGGTACACAAGTATGTGTGTAAGCATTCATGTGGAAATCAAGAGTCTCCTTCAATCATTCTCTACCCTCTTGTGTTCCTTTATGTGTGCACACATGGGGCATGGGGACGCCGACATCAGAGGGTAACTTGTGGGTTTTGGTGCTCTTCTACCATGTGGTCTCAGGGTCCAGCCTCAAGTCCTCAGGCCTGGTAGAGAGGCCTTTAGGCATGGACCCTTGCCACTTTTCGTTGTTGTTTGTCTGTTTCTTGAGACAGGCTCTCTCCCCAAAATTTGGATCTTGCAAGCTTCACCTATACTGGCTGTGAGGAAGCCCCAGGAACTCATTTGTTCAAATGCTAATTGGAGAAATGTTACAAAGCAGTACTTCAGTATTAGGGATTTGGGGGAAAATACTCAAATTTTGTTTGTTTTGTGTTTTTCTAGAAAGCATTTCTCTGTGTGGCTCTAGTTGTCCTTCTCATTCTGTATATCAGGTTGGCCTCAAACTCTCTGAGATCCTGCCTCTGCCTCTGGTGTGCCACTATACCTGGCTTCTTAATATTTAAATGTTTATTATATAAGAAAGACATCCCATGGAGACAGAAAAC